GGATTTACATAATTGATCGATGGCAATAAAATGGACAAAATGATCTTCATAGAAGATCTACATGGCAATAAAATTGATTTCATATTCTACCAATTAAATCTATCTAAAATTTTACCTGTCACAACGTTTAGTACACTTTTTTACAAGCTCTCTTAAACAGAATGAATGCCTTGATGATGCATAAAAAGAATATCAATAGTATAATAATACAACTTCACAAAATATTTCTGATAGTTTTACTGATAATAATTCTGATGATAATGATAATAGTACAAATGAATCACTAATGTTAGATTCAGCCAATTCAAAAGAACCAATTTTACAAAATATTGCTGACATTAAAACTCGATAGAATTCTAAATATTATTCTTGGAATTGATTATTAAAGTTATGTAAAGTAATTAAATAGTTAGGTACAACTTTACCTTTATCTGATAATCTTGATGATCGTGCAGATGGAAGAAAACTTAAAAAGTGACTTTTATTACCTCATGAATGGGACTTATTGAAACAAATTGTGGATTCATTTGATGATACCACTACTTATTTTAATGGAACATCTTATGCTATATTATCAATTATTTATCCTTTAATCCAAGTTCTCAAATTCAAATATGCATATAAATCTTTTGAAGAAAATGATAATAATTTAGAAATAGAACAAGGTAAATTTGTTATGTTATTATTATATTATTTGAATTTATATTATTTGCTAACTGTAACATATTTTATAGATATTCCAAATTTTCAGCATGAAGAATCAGATGAAGAAAGTGATAGTAATTATGAAAATAACCTAGAATTTGATAATTCAGAACAATTAACATTATATCATCACCAAACTTGATTTAAAACAGTAGCAACAACTATTTAACCTACACAAGATGTTCTTAAAATAATGAAACAGACTATATATAATTCCATATTTACTTATTAGAATGAACCTATAATGATTGGTCTTTTAGCATCTCTTTTGGATTTGTAGTTGAAAACACTCTCTAATTGGGATGATAAAATACGCAATAAGGCAAAAATAGAGTTAATGTGCCAATTTAAAGAATTAATTGATTCAAATTTAGCACAATCATCATCATCTGGTAGTTTTAAATCAACAACAATCTAGTTTGCATAATAGTCGATTGTACTCTTCTATTTTTGGTATAAGAGCAATCATAGCAAATTCTTTTTCTAAATTAGAATGTTATTTAGATTCTATTCATATTCCAATTGTTGATGATAGTGTGAATCCTTTTGAATGGTGGCAATTTGGAAAACTCAATTTCCTAATGTAGCTAAATTAGCCAAAAAATATTTATCTATTCCCAGTTCTTCAGTACCTAGCGAAAGGTTGTTTTCTGACGTGAATAATCAAATTACTGCTAAGCGTAAACATTTAGATTCAAAACTAGCAGGTAAAATAATGTTTTTAAAATGAAATTCAAACGCAATTCACATATTTTAGTTAATAAATAGTTCACTTTATTAATAAAATTAAAATTTAAATAAAAAGTCAATTATGATTTATAATAAATTTTGGTTAAATTTAGTAATTTGGTCTAATTCATGGGTTAATGATTAAATAAATAATTTTTTAAAAGATTTTTTAATTTAAAAAATTAAAATTTAACCCAGTTTAATAATCAAACCATTTTTAAATACTGCGTCACAAATAACTTGAATTTATCTAGATACCTGATTTCAAAAATCATACAGATATCTGGGTGACTATTTAGAATACAGTTCCAATCTCTAATTTAAATTTAGCATTAAAAAATTAAAAATGTATTATTTTAAACTAATTAAATGAATTGAGATCAATAAAAAGCATGATGTATGTATTAAATTTGAATTGCAATACATTCTATAAAATATTTTTACAAGATTACAATGATCAAAAGGAGCTTAAATAATTAAAATATATTTGAATTATAACAAGTTAAATAGACTCTACTTTGTATCATTGATACTATTTTGTGAATTTTCTAACATTATGAATAGGTTCTTCACAGACTTTGCATATTTATTTTTATTTGTTATTATTTTTGTCAGTATTAGTTTTTCATTAGCGAATATTTTGTTAGAATTAAGAATTCTTAGTGTAGATAAACTTTGTAAATGTTGTATTGCTTGTATATTTATATTATGAAATTGTTATTTGTAAGAATATAAATTTGAATCAAGCGGATTAATTGCACTATTAGTACTTCTATAATATAAATTACATGATTGGAGAGATTTATGTGCTATATGCACATAATTTTTCTAAATAGTCAATAGTGTTAATGAGATATATCGATTACTTGAGTTAAAATTAGATTATCAGAAAAGTTATATTCAAATGTGCGATATCATACAATCCCATCTTTAATTTTAATATATTTATAATGTAAAAAAAATTCAAGTGATATTGCATATTGATTGATTTTGTTTCTGTATCTTTCTATAATAAAAAAGCATCACTCACATTAATTTGAGTAGTTCTGGATTCATTATTTTGTTATTGTTCTTCATTTTCTTTGTCATTTTATTGGTATTTTTTATACAGAAAATCTGCTATATTCATTTTATTTTGATTGTTTTCAATAAAAAAAATTAAAACAAAAACACAAAATATAATGCTTTTCTCTTAAAAAAATATAATACTTACCATTCATACTTATATAAAATAAGACAAACAGTGTGTAAAATGGAAGTATAGAGAGCAAAATGTCATAAAAAGAAAGGAAAAAGAGGAAAAAGAGAAAAAGAATATAATTCAGTGTAAGAAGGATAAAGGATAAAAAAGCTAAAAAAGCTTAAATCAGTTAATTATCATGATTAATATATTATGTATACATGTAGTACAATGATACATATAATATCAGTGATGTTAACCACCTATTATTATAAATAATTACCTTTAATTTATTAATGATAAATATTTTTAATTGTTATATTATAAAAAATTTGAAAATCAAAATTTAATATATTAATAAATTATAAAAGATTTGATTTGTATTAGAAAAAAAGGTTAATTAATATTTATAAAAAATTTAATAAAGAGATAAACTAAAATTTGTTATTCTTTTTCTAATAATCTTTATTATTATAAAAATATTTCTGTAATTTTTACCTGATTTCACTTTTAACTATATAAATTAATAAATAAATAAATTTAAATTAATTTTAATAAATTATAGATAAAATTTTATTAATTTATAGTAATTATCTTTATTAATAATATGACTATATATTTTACCATAAAAATTCTTGATTTTATATTAATGGTCTTTATTAGTTAATATAAAATATAAATAAATATGTTTTTTTTAATTTTAAGTTTAAAAGAGTTTTTAATTATTAATTTAAGATATATTTTTTGTATTTTATGAAACTATTAGTTTAAAAATCTTTTTTTTTTTTTACTATAATTCAATTTATTTTAAAAATATTAATGATGATATTTAAACTTTAAATAAAAATAAATTTTTGATTATAATTTTATTTAAAAAATTGAATTTTATAAAAAGATTTTAAAAAGTAATATAATTTTATGATAATAAAAATTTAATAAAAAAAAAATGTAAAAATAAAAATTTTATTAAAAAATTTGTGACAATATAAAATTTCATAATATTTTTACTTAAAATTCAAAAAAACTTATTATTATAAATAATTTAATTATAAGAAATTTTTTATATCAGATTAATATTATATATTTATACATAAATATTTATTCAAATCAATTTTAATTTAAATAATCTGAATCTATTTGAATCTTTTAAAATAATTTGAATAGGTTTTAATCATATACATGATAAGTTTAAGAGTTTTTCTTATTTTTTAAAAGATGATTCACTCAAATATTTCTTTATTAGGCACTATTTTTAATTATAATTACATCTGGATATGTTTATTTTCTTCTTGATAGAATTTTTTTATAAGCTAACTGTTTGTCTATAAGTAACACAGTTTTATTTAAAGATGAATTAAAATAGTTATTAGAATTTAATCTAAGATTTTATTTTTTCTTACATTGCATGAAATATTAATAAATCATGATTTTCTTCTAGTATTTTTAGATCTTCACAATTTAGCACAAATCTATTATAATTTTATTTCCTTTTACAAGTGTTACTAATTCATTAAGGGCCTTTTCATTTTTTTCTAACTTCGTTATTTATTTAATTTACAATCTAATCTCTATTTTGTGTTGATTTTTTTAAGAGTTCTATATAAATTTTTTTCACAGATCTTGTAATTGATATTGATAGAATAGGTTATTACAGAGGTATTTCTAAATTGATGGGTTCTCATATGAATAGATCTTAATATTAAGATTTTAGTAATTTTTATATCAAGATCTTATAATAATGCATCAAGATTTATTCAATTTAAAAAGTGGTCTTATGGCTTTACATCCTCAGGATCTATTTTTTTGACATCTGGAGTTTTTCTTTTCATAATATTATTCATTTGCATTTCAACTAAAGTTAATGGATTGTGATTTTTCTGAATGTTTCTTGATTATACATTGCAGATTTTAGGATAAGCTGTGAATAGGATTAGACAAAATAGATTTGCTATTCTATCTGTTTTTTAGACCTTTTTTTATTGTTTACTTTAAAATCTAGAATAAATTAGTTCAAGATACTTTTGAGTTATTTTTCTTTTTTTTTTTTTAAGAATACACTTAAAATGAGGATTTTTTTTTTTTGTTATTTAATTTTTTGTTTATTTATTATTTTTTAAAATTAATTCTTCAAATTTATAATATAAAGTAATAATATGTTATGTAAACGGGAATATATAATAAAATATTTTCTGACTTAATATTAAATTAACCGATTTTAAGGAAGATTACACTAATTTTGCCCAAATTTCCGATTAGCTGGTCTGGTTTATTCTTAGCTTATTTGACACCTAAATACTAACACCTAACCCTAATCCACATTAATGACATATTTTTATTTTTGATCACAAACTTGATCACAATCATTTTACAAGTAGTGTATAAAATATTCGATAAGCAACCCACCACGCGTGAAATATCAAAATTACATAAACACAAAGCAATCATAAAGAATGTTACGGAAGATAAAGCAAGATTTATATTAAAATTTATTAGAGGTAGCATTTTAGAATTTTATAGTACAAAATGATAAAAATGCAAATAAAAATACAAATAAAAATACAAAAATATACAGTATATCTCTTTCTTTTAAGTCGACCAGCGACTACCGATAGGTCATCATATAGATGATCACTATCGGTTATGATTATTCCTGATTTTTCGGCCGCTTTAACCGCGCCACTGGTAAATGAATTCTTGGAAAACCCCACCACCACGCCGATCGTCAACCATGGCTCATCTGCCAACGCTCCAATCATGTCAAGGATTACGGAAGACCCTGAGATATTTAGATATTTATTAAATGATATTCATTTAGATATAATTAATTTTCATTAAATTCCATTAAATACCTATTTTATTATTCTTCCAGGCTTTGCACTTCCCCGCAAAGATTTCGCCATGTATGCGCCCGCGCATATTGATCCCCTTATTCCCTCGGCCTCTGTGAAAATTATAAATAAAAAAATGAGTAATTGCGTCAACATCATCAAAAATCAAGAAGAACGTTCACAGTCATTTTTTTTGTGGCCACGAAGAGCCTTATATCCTATTCACGAATTTTGGATTTCGGAAACTGTGAAGAACCGTTCACTGAAACCGTTGCCACGAAAAGCTTTCATTTCCCAGACATTTTGCACCTAGTAGCATCGTATCTTTCGGATATACAATGACTCAACAAATTAATACAGTGAAATACACACCCTATCCCTTTCACCTGCACATTTTTAGCCTTCAAAATATCAACGTTTTTTTGTACGAACTCACTGCCTATGGCAACTGAAGATGACATTTTTTTTATTTGAAATTATACGTGTAAAAGTGAAGTTATAATTTTGCGATCAATTCATTCATACTTACACTTATATATATGATTAACTATTACCATTTTCGTAAGAATTACCAAAAGAAATGTATACACCACGAGATAATATATTGAATGGTATTTTTTGCCAGTAAAATCACATATGCATGATTAGTTATGTATCCCGGAAATATTACTTAAAAAGGAAATTCCTGCATACCAACCTCATGAATAATGCTGGGGGTAATCAAATCTGATCGGATAATTATTCAGTTATAGTTGCGTAATGAAACTTTGCTGGAACTTTCGGGAAAGAAATATGGTTTTTATTTAAAAATCATATAGTGTTAGGGAGTGATACGGAAGGATGATGTTGAGAATATTTTTAAACTCTACTCACTTGAGTGACCCGACTCTATTTATTTATGCAGTTTATTTTAGTAGTTTAGTTAATAGTTACATGACATAAAAAAATTACAATAATAAGTTGTACTATATAGTTACACCACATACTTCAAAGGATAAATATATGTACTATTATGTACGTTGTACCACTAGTGATAATATAGAAGGTTACATTTTATTTTATTTAAATATGGTAATAATTAAAATGGGTCTAGCAGGTTACAATCATAATTGACGTTTATATTTTCAAATTAAAAAAAATCGTCGAAACATACAAGTTATAACAATAAAAAAAATCTTTGTTTTTTTTTCAGCGGCGCGTTTTTAGAAGACCCATTTAATTAATTCTTCATTTATATTTAAATAAATAAACAAATAAAGACGAATGAAGAGTAACACTGAAGATCAGCCAGAATAAAAGTGACTACTTGAAAGTAAAAATTCTGGATTTTGAATTATTATAACGATAAAATGGGACGATTTGTAATATATAAAAATAACGCTTCAAAATCGTGTGTAGGCGGACAGGATAAATCGACTCAAGCATTTTTTGACTATGTAGCAAACTCACCTCAACATCTGGATAATAGTTAATTATTTTTGTTAATCCAAAATGTTCGATAAGTATAAAGAACAAGATAGTCGCATTGATTTTCACTCGCGTAACATGTTCTATCCTTATTTAGGCATAGTCATGATTTATTTTTCAAGATTTTTTTGTGTAACTTTATAAATAAGAAATCAATATTCTTCTAATAAGCGAATTTTATGTTTAAAATTCTGCGTGACATCATCACGTGATATCATTTATTGGAGAATGTACTATACTATTTTGTTCTGTTATCCTTCACTTGTTTGAAACATGCAAATTAAATTTTTTTTTAACTAACTAAAGAACAGAGAAAATTTTTAAAATAAGAGAAAAATTTCAAAAATTTTGAGTGTCCACGTAATATGTAAATTCAGCTAGGAAATCTCACGCACTATCCCACAACGACATGTTATAATTATTTAATTTTCGAACCTTTTAAATTATTTTATTATATTTAAATAAATTAATTATTTATGATTTACCTTTTCTATTACTTGTGGTATAGTTAATTGAATAAATTTATCTTTCATCTATATATAATATAATTAAATAAACAAAATTATTTAAATTTTATGATAAATATATAGCGATCATCTTCAATTAAAATAAATTATAATATTATTACCTTATCTATTCTTTTATGAATGTCATGCTTTTCACAAAGATAGTTTGCCATATTTCCTGTAGATCTATCATGTAAAAATTGCTAATCACAACATATTTCTTCATTTTGCATATTCATAACCAAAATTTGACAAATATTATACTCATTTTCTTAGATCATATATTGCCACACCTAACTAGTTTTACTATATTTACGTTTTGGTTTATATAATTTTGTTTTTTTATTACATATGATTGATCTTCATCAAGAGAAATTGTTGAAGCTGATGGAACTGTTGAGGGAGCTGTTGAAGGAGTTCTATTAGAACTAGTGAACATATTATTAAAAGTACTAACTATTTCTAAATTTGTATCAGAAATATTATCCCAAACTTTATCATCCATTTTAAATATTCTTATAGCCATTAAAGTAGATAAAAAATAAACATAAAAAAAACCAAAGAATTTTTTTTAGTGAACAGAAGATAAGTATAGCAAAAAAAAAATCAAAGAATTCTTTTTTGTAGCAGGCAGAAGGTAAGTATAGCAAGGAAAAATCAAAGAATTCTTTTTATAGTGAAAAAAAAATCAATTTTTTTTGTGGTGAATGAAAATGAAAGGTAAGTATAGTTAAAAAAAAAATCAATTTTTTTGTGACAAATAGAAGATAGATATAGCGAAAAAAAAAATTAGAATTTTTTTTTTATTGTGGTAAACAGGATTATAAACTTTTTTTGTGAGACAAAAGATAGTGTGAAATTGTAAAATTTAAACTTTCAACACATGGTAAAATTAAAATAGTAATATTAAAACTTAATATAACAAAAGTTTCAATTTTTTATTTATCGTTTATTTAAAAAAAGATACATTTTCAATCGAAACCAATTTTTTTTACTACATTTTTTAATATTTTTAATGCAGATTTCTTTTTTTTGTATCTTATATAGTTCAGTAAATCTGTTGTAAAACAATCCAAATTAGGGATATACAATCCTATTCAGGTTGTCAACCCAGTTTGGTAATCTGGGTGATTTAACATGAATATCCAGGTTGTCAAATATTGATCTGGTTCAACCTGATTTAATACGGGTAACCTAAGTGAATATTAACCAGTTCCAATCTCTAATTTAAATTTGATGGTATTATATAATATGATAACAATCACCTCCAATTATAGT